GGTTTGGGCAGATTTGGCTAGGAAGCGGTCACTATAAAAGGCCTTTCCTAAGATATTTGGTGAAAAAACAAACACATTTTTGGTATGAAAATGTTTAGGAGGTCATTTTATTTTGTATTGCATAAGAATTAAACTAAAAATTATGTATGTATAATGTAAATATTCTTGAATGTTTTTGCATAGCGGATCATTGGATGGGCTTTGGGTGAAGAGATATGGAGAGATCAAATTTCCATGATGTCTGGTGTTGGGGATGGACCAGACAGCCAGACATGTTCAGACATGTCCAGACAACTGTCGGCATACGTCGGCGTGAACTCATGAAAAAAGAGGCTCATCGCGCAGATGTGCGCAGACACGTTTGGATCCAGTATTGTTTTTTTAGTGAACACGGGTTTCCCAACATCTTATACCCATTCATTCGGATGTTCATTTTATAGAGGCCTCTTCTTTCTGCTTCATGGATGTTGTGCCTGTCATTTCATAGGGCATGTTCTTCCACTGCTCCTTAGCCACACCTGGATCTGGCTTGGCATTATATATATATATAAACACATGCATATATATATATATATCCCTAAGGATCCTTGGACCCTCCTTAGAAGGGGTCGAACCCTCTATAACAAGGTTTGGGCCCCCTCAAAACCCTTGCTTTTGAGTGTGCGGATCCTTAGGGATATATATATATATAAACACCTAACTTTGCCTGTCATTTTCTAGCACCCACTGGGCCACCCACGGGGGGTCCCTTGATTGTTCGGCGCCGCCCTCAGGAGAACGGCCGGCACGGTCTCGGGTCTGCGGACGCGTCCGCGTCGTCCTCCACCACGGCCACGGCTGGCAGCCACCGCCAGCCAGAGATGGAACCGTGGACGAGGCCGGAGATCGGGTCCCTAGGGCATCAGTCGTACCGAACCTGAGAAGGTGGGACTGGGATTGGTGTAGAAGGGTCGGGAAAATAGCGAAGCTGAGGAGGTAGCGTGAACGGGAGAAGATGCGAGCGACGAGTTCGCGGGGGGGCCCAGGCACCGGCTAAATGTAGGCCTCTATCGGCCCGCCTAGGCTTCCAACCGACTAACCTGAGCTGCTGTACTAAGGGTTTTATAGTACAACACCAGGTCCACCATTTTTTGAATGGTCGGACAGACTTCTAGGACTAACAGACTCCTGGCAGCAGTTGTTTCGAGTGGAAAGGCATTAGGTTCGGATCCTGCTTTTAGGGGTCCGCATGCCATGCGCAGAGTCGTTGAATTCGAAGGCAAACCAACCCGGGTAGCTTCATGGGCAGCTGTACGGCGGGTGACCCTTCGCCGAGAATCGCAGCCTGAGATACAAGATCCCAAAGTAGCGGGGTTTGCTCAAAGTCTGGACCTGTGAGCACCTTCATTTCAACCTTGATATACCCTGAAAGTTAAAAGACTATACTGAGTAAAGGACATTTCCATTTTTTGGGATCCTTTAAAAGACCATTATGTTCAAAGCCTTTGACTACTACTATACCTATAGATCTTCCACATGGTGGATGTCTTTTTTTTCCGGGTCAACAGGCTGGTTTGGTTCGATTCAAAGGCCATTGGGATGTCCCTGGCATCCCAACAGCCATTCGTGGACCCGTCACAAGGAGGGCAGAAATCCATCAAAAAGGGATCAACATGTATCAACTCCTTTTGGACATCGCCAGTGTGCGTGACATCGCCAGAGCTTGCTTTGGAAAAGAGTTTTCTCCTATACAACCCCACTTGCCAGGTGAGGGTTGTTGGATTTTATCAGAGCTCTTCTACTACAAGTACGAGATCACAGTGGGCACTAGCGGACCTCAACAGCAAGTGCCAAAACGCAGTGGGCACTACCGGACCTCAACAGCAAGTGCCAGATCGCAGTGGGCACTACATGGCACTGCCGGACTTCAACAGCAACGTATTTCTATCAACCGAGGTTGCAAAACATGACGGTGTTACCTCAAAAGCAGCTGTCAAAAATCTGCAAAGATTGAAAGTTTTACAGATAAAAGCGGTGTAGTACGTATATATTAAGATTAACTAATTAAGTATACTCTTCACCAAGAGACTGTTTTCAACACGCTTTCCAAACAGGCTCGTTTGGGACTTCTGCAGGATTTTTGATGATGCAATACCGCGGCTCATGTCAAGGACATTGGAGCTGCAAAGGTCTTCACTTCGTCTATACTTATATACATGTGCTGCGAGGGTCTGCAAGGTGCGATTTTGTTATGTGTTGCTGTTGCTTCATGGGTTTGAAATTCAGCAAGTAGTAGGCTATTGTGTTTAATTGCAATTATGCTGCGTTATGACAGACTGTGATTCGGACGAGGTTTTTACATAACTTTGCCAAACATAGGTAAACAAAGATACAACTCTATCAGGGAAACATCCAGTTGCGCCCCTTGTGCGACCCTAGCAGAGGGGGGCCATCCGGTCAGAGAGGTCAGGTTGGCTTGGAAGGTCGAATTCATGACGGACCAAGATCGTACAACTGCGCAAGAGTTCTTCCGAACTTGGTGGATGACGGATGAAGAGGGAAACAAAGGCGTTTGAAGATCGCAGGCATGTTTGCAGGTACTTGGGGGCCGTTTTTTTTCAACAGCTATCATCATCAGGTATCCATGACCTTTCCGATCGTTTTCGAGTCATAAAGGGTGTTCTTTTAGGGGTGGATTGGTAAGTTGGAATTTGTTGGATTGGTGGACTTTTTCTCAAGTCACACATTTTGCATGTGTCATAATAATGTCATGTTCCACTGATTTCGTCGGACGTTGGGTAGCAGCTGGTGCTGGTTGTCGATGTTTGATGTGCAAACTGCGCTTGTTTTCCAAACTGCGCTCCTGGTTCCTGAGCTGTGGCGGCCGAGCAGGTGCAGACCTTGGGGCTAAGTGAGGTGATGCGGGTGAGACTTTAATCCAATGGGGTGTCCAACCCAAAGCACAGAGGGTGTCGTATTGATGTCAGGGGTCCACCCTGCTTCTTCAAGAGATGTTTTTTCTCTCGGTCACTCTGTTTGGCGTCGGTCATTGAGCTGATCAAGCTGAGACTTTGTATGCACCTCCTACTCAAGACCCTAGAAGTCCAAGGAGTCCAAGACTATGTTTAGATATGTTTAGAATGTTTTGACAAATGGTGACCTGATTTCAGGCAATGTTTGTTCTTTCGGTGGTGTCTAAAAATGTCGGGACTTCTATAGGGAAGACTTTAAGCTGCTTCTGCTTCCTGGCAAGACTCTTGGATCGCTCAGCGCTGAGCGATTTCGAGAGATGGGTCCTGAAGAAGTATAGTCATTACTACCCATAGGGTCCAGGTACCTCCTCAGGATGGTCTTGGAGGTGAAAGTACTTCCAGAGAATGGTCGAACGGGGGGTCAAAGGACATCCGATTCGGATGGTCCTGGACCCTTAGGGGCCCCATTGACTGCATATGATCGACATTGATCGACCATTTGATTCCACGATTCAGCCAGAAGCATCGCTGGGCTGTCCAGCGCCCCAGAAGCATCAACCGATTTCAACCTTTTCTGTCGACGGGTCAGTGAAGAGGACCGAACGGGTCTGACGTGACGTGCCCGAATCAGACCATGTCTGTTGACTGACCTGGAGCGCTTTTGAGCGCAAACTTGACCTGACCTGGAGCGCTTTTGACGTTCAGTTGATGGTATTTCGAAGATGTTCAAACAGGTTGGTCCACTTTGCTGAACCCTTTGCCGTAACTAACGAACGCGCGAATTGAATGGCTGGAATGGGAGCTTTGACTGATCATAGACCAGTGAGAAACCAACTATATGAAGAATGTCTGCCGAACCTAGCTGAAGAGGCTTTCGGAAGATCCAAGTCTCAGAACCCAAAAGGGATCTGCACCCTCGTTCGTTCGGTACGACTGGACCTCTTCGTCAGGTACGTCCAATCGCCCAACAAGAGGGGGTGGCAGTAGATCCGGGAAGAACTGTAGAACAACTTGTGCAGAACAAGTCTTCCTACTTCTCTGGTGTTGCTTCGTAATGGGATCTTTTTCCGGTCCGACTCGGCGACTCCGGGCTTCCTGGGAGCCGCAGAAACCAGCTGATTTGGTCGGAAGACTTAGTGTTCAAGGTGATTGGTTGGCCTTATCCTGCATATCGATTCCGGTGCCATTCAAGATGCGTGGCTCGAATACATGATGTTCAATAGATTGACCGATTCAGGTGTGTCTCAAAATGGCCCCATGCCAGAGATTCAGAGACCCCAACATAGGAGAAGAAATCGATTTCGGGAACACGAACCATGAAAACGGAGGTGGAAGATAGTGGAACTTGCTCTGGAAAGTGAGGGCCTACATTTTGAGATCAATTGCTGTGCAAGCGACCTGCTCGTTCGCTGCGCACTTGTTTCTTCATCGTTCGACCGCATTTCGTGGCCAGTTCGAATTGACATCGGCTTTCACAAGCTGAATGGAACACGTGGCGGGTTTCAACTAGGGGTGGCCAACGAATTGACGCATGTTCCATTTCAGACACACAAAAAGACGCATGGAAAAGCGACAAAAAAAAGTGGTCATCATGAGTCATAATGAATGCAAATGAAAGCAATTTTGTTGAGTGTTCAATCCCTGTGATTTCCACCCCTGGTTCCTTCAGATTGTTCTGATGTTGTGGCCCGGTGGATGCAACCATATGCAACCGCCGGCTTCAGCAATGTGGATGGAATGGAAACACATTGTTTGTTAGTGTGATTTGGTTGGTGGAGTAACGGCTTTAAAAAAACGGTCAGATCTGATCTTCCGATTTTGTTGCATCTATTCTTCGAAGATCGTCTTGGTTTTCAGAGTTTGGTACATCAGGCGCAGAGGATTTGACGTCTTCCATCATCTTTCCCTAGGGATCCAAGTACCTGCTCAGAAGGTATTTGGACCCTCTAAACCCACCCCAGTCCCACCTTCTTGGAAGGTACGACTGGAGCCCTAGGGTTTCCCTTCCATCCAATCGACTTGTGGCCCGAATTCCACCCGAAACGTTCCGCGGGTGGACGAAAACCGCCGGCCGATCGATCGCGTGGTCTACCGCCGGCTTGCAGCGGGCGAGGGCCCGCGCCGAAGCGGCCGAAGCTCGTCTCGTTTCGGTGGGACGACCGGGGCCCGGGTGGAGGGTCCAGTCAGACCGAACCTGAGGAGGTGTGACTGGAAGTGTAGGGAAGCGAACTCCCGAAATCCATGCCCCCCCGGGTGCTCCCCCCCGTTCAGTATAGGGAGGCCCAGTGAAGTCGGTGGCTGAGCCATGGGAGCGTCGGTCAGCCAGTGCGGGTGCCAGGTGTGAAAGCGAGTTCGACACGACAGGGTGAACCGACATAAACCGATCACCTGCCCATAAGCTCCTATAGTAGCGGTCCTATCCCAAACGCTCCATGGGACTGCCGCCCCATTGACCCCCCTGGCACCACCCCTGATCCAGTCCTATGGCAGTCCCATGGAGTGTATGGGTATTGTTCCTTATAGTAGCGTCCTTTCTCGCTCCGTTCGCTCCGGCCGTCCGGGGCCTCGCGTCCGATCACTCCCTTCGAACCGGCCGTTCAAGGGTCTGGCTTCTCCCAAAACTGGTCCGTCCCCTCCAGTGGACAGATATGGCGGTACTTTCCGGATTGAGAGTAGAGGGCACAATCTCCAACGGTCAGTGGTTGATATAGGTTTATGAACTAACCCAGTGAACTAACCCCACTCCCTCTTTTGAAGACATCTTGCGGAGGGGTGCCACTGTATGTGTGTTTTTTTGTGGCAGATGGTCCTACTGTTTCTTTTTGTGCTTGGTTTGTGTGTCCTTTTCATATGTTCAATCCTTTCATTGCCATGACCAATCGGAGCATCTGTTTCAATCGGAGCACCAGAACATCAAACGGAGCGATTTTCAGGGGCCGGTGTGGGTTCGGTTCTTCGAAAGGACGTCTGCGAGCAGCAGAACACACACACACACAGGAAAAGTGGAGAACCTGCCCAAGCTTTTCTGGGGACACCCTAGCAAATATGAACACCCTAAGGATCCGCACCCTCAAAAACAAGGGTTTTGAGGGGCCCCAAACCCTTGTTATAGAGGGTTCGACCCCTTCTAAGCAGGGTCCAAGGATCCTTAGGGCAGATGAACAGTTTGGTTAACATCTGCCTCTGGAGTCAGCTCATGAAGAGTTGAAGGGTGCGCTACTCGATGTCCTGGTTTTAGCTTGTGTTGTCCTTGACCTCGAGAGTGGAGACAGGCACCGTTTTTCTTTGTTCAGGTGGAAGCGGTTAGTCTGGCAGTGAGGAGGCTGGGGAGGCTGGTGCTGGAAGAGTGTCTTCCAGCACCAGCCAGTTTGGGTGGTGATTGGATGAATATATACATGGTCGTCAGGGGGTCTGTAAACCACCCGAACTGGGTGGTGCCGCTTGAAAGTGTTTGTTCTTGCAAGCACGTCTTTCTCAGACACCACTTCACCATACTTCACCCGTTCGCAGTCGCTTAAATTGGGCTCAACCCTCAAAGCGTCAGACATCTCAGATGCTGAGAGGACCTCGGGCTCGACCCGTGCGAGGTCAGGACTGTGAGGTGAAAAACGTTTCGAAGGACCCGAAGCAGACAGAGATACAAGGAACATCAAGGAACCAGGCGGACCAGCGGAGGTAGTCCCTCAGGGTGCCTTTGAAGAGGGCAAAAATGGAGACGACCTGGTTTTTAACCACCGTGAGGACAGTTCTCTGAAGCCAAATGAAGACATCTGAAACACCTGAAACAAATCAGCTAGGAAATGAAACAGGTCACACCATGGTTTGCCCTGGTCTGAAATATCATGAAATTTATATACCAGGGTCATCCAATGGGTGTCCAATAGACTACCCCACCCTACTTACAGGTCTCCATTGGGCACCCGTTGGAAGTGCTAGGTACTTGTTTTACGAAGTCTGACTTGTTTTTCTCCAAAAACTCAGCGAAGACAGAATGGATCGTTCAGACCTTTGCCGCTTGACGGATAGGCCAGGCTCGGATGGTTTGAGCGGTCAACGGAGCAGTGCTTTGAGCCGAGCCGCAGAGTACTGACGGATGGATCCTGACGCAGTATGGCATGGCAAGCGTTTTCTGGCGTGGGCGCCAAGAAGGATGGATCCTTGCACAAACCCAGGAGGAAAAGTGGAGAACCTGCCGGAACTGCACCATGTTTGGGGATTGGGGACAGTTGAGCAGATATGAACAGAAAGTTCGGTTCACTCTGTGCAGGGAAGCTGAGGAGTGTGTATCACACTCCATAAGATCTCCATATATCTGGACTGGAAGATTTAGACTACATTGCTCAGACGGTCAATCACCCTCGGGTTGATCAGTTGGTCCGTCCTCACGATCGGACGGAAAGACGACGCGTTGGAGGACACCTGGGAAGGACCCTGCGGTGTCGTGTAAAAAAAATCCTTAAAACAATACCCAGACACGACCCATGGGACGGCCATATCTATGGGTGAATGGGGCGGCAGTCCTATGGCAGTCCCATGGGTTGTGTCTGGGAATGGTTCTTTGGTCACTCTCTTGCGGTGGCTCGCGTCGAATGATGGCGGTTTCCAGAATGGTTCGAACCAGAAAAGAGAGCCTTGGCCACGAATCCTAGGGTGACATGTCTGTCCTCTCCAGTGCCAACTGTGATGTTTTCGCTCAAACAGCTCGGATGGGGAGTCCCGAATCCCCTGGATGGGAAGTCCAGGCACTACCGAAGTGAACGAACTTCGAAGATCTAAAGACGGAGATGGACTCTCAGGGCTTAAGTTGTCAGGGACTCATGCTATTGTTGGTGTCAGGGACTCTGGGCCACTCACTTTTGGCCGGATGGGCCCACCATTTTGGGTTGGTGCCGCCACGGGGCGGGGGCCGCCACGGGGCACTCGAGGCTGTTCTGCTTGGTCTCTTCCGAAACGCCACCTTCAGAGGGTGCGAAGGAGCGGCTGAGAGGACTGTGGAGTTGAGAGGACTCCCCATACAGCTCGCCCAGTTCGACGATCTTTGGCACCACCCAATGTTACTGTAAGTAAAGGACGTTCTTTGATTTGGGACGACTTAAAGACAGTTTCAAGCATGGATGGGAGAAGAACCTTCGTCGGTATCCAATTTT